ACGAAACGGCCGGTGTACAGGGACGACTTGAAGACGGCTCAGCAACATGAATTTTTGGGTATTGACGAGGCTGTGCTGATCGAAGAATCGCTGAAGGATAAGGTAACCGGTTCGACGGCGGTTGTAGTTATGATAAAGAACGATAGATTGTACAATGCGAATTCTAGGGATTCGCGGGCGATCGCATGCACAACAGGAAGCTGGATGTGCTTTCGTTCAATCACAAACCGAACAATGTCACACGGATACAAATCTCCTTATACTTCTTGGCCAACTTCTATAGTTGATTATTAATTATATTCATAAGTCAACTAATAGCAGAAGCCAAGCAAGAAAGTTAATGAAAATCATGTGGCAAACAAACTTTATTAATAGTCATTTGTTGCTCGCAGTCCTTCGGATCGAACGTAGAAAACTATTTTACATAGTTTCCGGCGATACTCAAAATAAAATTTTAATACAACAAACATTAATCACAGATGCACTTATCATTAATAACAAACAAATTACATTAAGTTCTCCTCAATATAAATACTACCAGTCTCACTGCCAACACTCCTATACTCGGTTTTGAGAACCTATTTTGAAAACATCAATTTATTAGATTTACTGACTATCGAAATACAAATAAACTCACGGTAAGTAGCACAAACTATCATGAGCGCAGAATAACAAGCAAACCTAATATCGACCAACAATCAGCTGACGAAATCTACAAAAACACCAAATATTACTTTCACAATATTTACAATAAACTATTGCACATACAAAATTGACTTCCACTTATTTTGCTATTCAATTACATGTGGACAGACAAATTCACTTCACTAAATTACAAGATGAGAATTTCACCATCTCGTTTCGATCTTCAGTGTCAACAATAACAAATTGCGATGGCTGATCCCACTCAATGAAGTACAGAGAGAGGTGAAGCAGATCGTGAAATATTATTGTATTAGTAAACCCGAGGGGGAAGACGGCTTTCATTTGAGTTCCTCTTTTACTCAGAGTTGCTCCGAGCTACTCTGGTTTGCTCTGGGATCTGATCTAATTTGTGACGAAAACAGAATTAGTAGGGCATACAGTTATGGAATCTGACCAAGCAAATGTCAGTTCGATAACGAAACGAAAACAATGAATGAAGAAAATAAATGGATGCAATATTTAATTAAGGAAATGATCTCGTTTTCTACTAGTTCATTTGGCTATTTTCTTAAATCACTCTGATGGCTTTCTGCAGGGCCTTTTCTCTTTAATGAAATTTACCAGGATCTTGCTACCGTAGTACCAACAATCAATACGAAACTAACGATTTAATATTGGCTCACTACTTGAATAGTCTATTGGTCCCAAGCAAATCGACTAACGTACCCCATTCTAGTATAAATTCCAGTACTACACTATGTTTGTTTTGATTCGCTATGAAAGTTTGACAGATAAAATGAGGGGTTAATGGATTTTCCTATGTTTCGAGGGGTGAATCGATTAGCTTGGAACCGAAGAGCGTACCAGAGCTGAGCCAAAAAGTTGAGCACGTTTCTTCGGGACCTACTGGTATTAGAGTTACCACTATGGTACTCCCAGTCAATTTGCTTGGGACCAATAGGCAAGTGCAGTAGTGAGCCAATTTAATACCGTTAGTTTCGTATTGATTGTTGGTAGTACTGGGCATTCAGATGCTTAGAGCAAGCGAATGGATATTCCCTTCCGGCTACCAGCTCCGGTGGGGACATGTACTTGAGGATGAATCCTGTGAGGGTCTCGATTGCTAGAACAGGAAAATACAAACGTACAAACTATTCCACCACACTAACGTCCCTTTACACCAAAAACATTGATTGCTTGGGCTGCGCTGTCAAAACAATCGAGATAATAAAATCGTTCTTCAGAGAGCAAAAGAATTCCTCAGAGTTACTCTGGATTGCTCTTAATTTATCACTGTCTTCCCCCTCGAGTAAACCAAAAAATCAGCGGAAACGCAAGTAGTGACGTCACTAATTGCTTGTATCGTACAGGGGTTTTACTCACACAACTTAACCGATTGCTTCACCTCGGTAATCCAGCTCATTGGATCCCACTGCACGATCAGCTGCATGCGCATGTATGTGTGCCATTCATTTTGGTCATCTTCATCCAATGAGCTGGATTACCGAGGTGAAGCAATCGGTTAAGTTGTGTTAAAACCCCTGTACGATACAAGCAATTAGTGACGTCACTTCTTGCGTTTCCGTTGATTTTTTGGTTTACTAATACAACAATATTTCACGATCTGCTTCACCTCTTTCTGTATCTCATTGATCTTCATCAGCCGTCGAGAACTGTCAGTGGACGGGTGCGTTCACGGTATTCGCCCATTCGCAACTGGGTGTTCACTTTCACCGACCGCAACCCTTTCGCAACCGGGTGCTCGTTTTTACCAACGGCAACAGCCATTCATATCGTTTATGCATTCACATAGGGATTTATGTTATTCTACAAATAGAAAGTAGGGGAAATACAGGTAATGTTCGGCCTAAGTGTCCCTAATTTGGGCCCATACATAAATTCAGCAATCGACTAAATTTTCAATACCAACCAAAAATATCCATTAGTAACGTCCCAATAACGCGTTCATCTAGATAAAATTGATAAATAGCAGATTTTTAGCGATGGGCTCAATATTAGATACATAGGCCAACAATTAGAGACCTTTCCCATATTAAGCTGATGTTTAGGAAAATAAAATCATAAATGAAACACACGAATTAAATTACTTTTCGTAGCGTACAGTGAGTTGGATAAAGCGTGCCGGGGGTTGCGTTGAGTATAATAGAGTGAATGGCTATTTAGCCCTGTCAATGGCATTGGCGAACGGCAATAAATTGCCGTAGGAACAAGTTGTGATGGCATATCCGAACGTGGAATAACGAGTGGCTATGGCTTGCAACAGCTTGTGGCGGAATTTGGAACGTGCTTCCGAGCCAACCAGTAATGGAGTTTGTTCTGACGAAAATTTTAATACACGTAAATGACAGTTGTCGATATAGTACTCTAGACAGTGCTCCAATTTTATTTGAATTATAATCTGATAGCTACGAAAATGTGCCAGGAATGTGCCGATAAGTGTGCCCTAGCTGTGCCGAATCTAGTTTCGGTACATTGTGCTGAGTGACTAACCCCTTGGAAAATACCCAAATTGATGGGTATTTGACAGTATTTCCAACGTTTTTGAATCCAGAAGCCGCCATCTTGGATTTAAAGATGGCGTCTGACATCGATTTTCGACGAAAATATCCATATTTTACAATACTTTAAACTTTTTCTGAAATCGGAAGCCGTCGTCTTGCTCACTTAATTTTTTTTCGCCGAGATTCCAACAGCCGAGTAAGTTCTGCAATTTATTTAGCTGATATTCAGTAAAACAATTATCGAGACTCAGCTAACAAATAACTATTTGCTGAAATATCCGCTAACAAACAGATATTTTGCAAAGATATCAGTAAAAGTAAATGCCGAGGTAATCGGTAAGTTACCCAGATTCTAAAAAACGTAGTGATAGATAATTTGACAGTATTTCCCACTTTTTATTAAACCGGAAGCCACCACCTTGGATTTCAAAATTGTGTCAGATATCGATTTTCATTCTCTAGACGTCATCCCGATTCCAAATATACCCACATTGATGGGTATTTGACAGTATTTTCCACTTTTTCTGAAATCGAAAGCCGCCATCTTGGATCGCATATCGTTTTTCATTCTCTACACGCAGGAAAAAGAACGTAAAGGCCCACGCACATTAGATCCGGATCGGACGCGTTGCGGAAAAGTGACAGGTAAATCTATTGTCTAACTGTCAAATTTACGTCAACGCAACGCAAACGGATCTAATGTGGGTGGCCCTTAAGAATTCCATCCAGCATTTTACGAGCGCTTATGGCCGCCACAATCTGGCTGAGTTTTTGGTAGGGAACATATAATTTGACGTTTGGGTTGTGTTGTTTGACGTGTAAACGTTCAAATTTGATCGTTTACACGTCAAACGACACAAGCCAAACTTCAAATCTTATGTTCCCTACCGGAAACTCAGCCAGATTGTGGCGGTCATAAGCGATCGTAAAATACTGGATAAGAAACACTTATGGATTTTAGCGATAAGAAATGAGTGTGAATTTCGTTGATTTACCTTATAAATCGAAGCAGACTGGAACCGGAAAATGGACGATGAGGTTAGGGGGTCCGTGTGTTGACAACTCGTCTTTCAACGCTTGGGAAAATGAAATGGTTAAAGGTGTAGTAAGGGCTACCTTAAGTTACCCGAAAATCATTCATAAGTCACGCTTAGGGATGGTCCATTAATTATGTCACGCAAATTTGGCCCATTTTCAATCCCCCTCCCCTCTTTGTCACATTATTTTTTTTTTTTGTATGGCTCGTCACAGTTTTCAAACACCACCCCTCCCCCCTAAATGTGTGACATAATTAATGGACGACCCCTTATGAAATTCATATGTTGTTCATATGAAATTCTTAGGTCCATTTGCCTCAGTGTAGAGTACAGTTTGCATTTTTCATGATTTTTTTTTATAAAAAATCGAAAAGAGACATTTTGAGATATTTAGGTTTTACACTTTTTGAAATTTTTACTCATAAAAACATTTTTTTCTCAACAACTTTGTCTCAGACGTCATTTCGATCGGAAGTGCCGTTTCCGTTCTACAATTTGTTGAAAAATTTCAAGGATGCCATTTTGAAAATTTTACAAGATCCAAAATGGCCGAATTTCATCAAAAATGTAAATCATTACCCATTACAAACAATTATGCAAAATTTCATGCAAATCGGAGAAGGTCATTTGGAACTGCTCATAAACATATTGCTATGGAAATTGACAAAAAGGTTGATCCTACGTGGATGAAAACCGATGTCAATTAGGCGACGTGAAAAAAACCTTCGAACGCTATGTAACCATTAAAATTCAAGCTAAATCAACTAATACACTCCTCTCGAATATCCCCCCGCAGATGTCATCTCCATCGAAGGCCACTTCCCATCGTCCTCGGACGAAAAGTTCCGCAACTTCCTCACCGTGGGTCCAATGTGCCGCTACTCGAAGGATCTGCCCACTTTGGTGCACATCATGGCCGGTCCGAAGGCCTACAAGCTCCGTCTGGACGAAACGGTCTACACCAAGGACATCAAAATCCACTACATGGAAGACTTCGGCTTCAATGTGTCGTTCGTTCCGGTGGATGAGGAAATCAAAATCGCCATGTACCGAGCGGTGCAGTTCTTCAAGGACCACGGCCTGCAGACGGAACGGGCCGAGTTTGACAATATAAGCCAGAGCATGGAAATGGCCATGTGCACTATGCAGTCGCTGGAGGACATTCCGAATATGTTCGACAATCGGGATAATCCCAAGGAACAGCATAGCCTATTGATGGAGCTGGGTAAGTCGTTGATCGGAAAGTCGCAGTTCACGCTGGCCGGAATCGTGTTCTACGTTCTGATCAATACGAAGCACATGTTCAGCACCGAGGATCAGCAGCGGTATCTACGGATGAAGGAAGCACTCCGGAAGCAAATAATTGTGAGTTGCTCTCTCGGTTATGTTTTACTAAAAGGATTGTGATAATCTGTCAATTTGTTTTCCAGGACACACTGGGAACGGACGGCGTTCTGTTCCTACCAACCTACCCGACGCCAGCCATACGACACTATCACTCGTTCGGTCACATTACCGGTGTGACGTACACGATGCTGTTCAATGCGCTCGGTTTCCCCGGAACCCACGTCCCGTTGGGGTTCAACAAAGAAGGTCTTCCCATCGGCATTCAGGTAGTGGCCGCTCCGTACCAGGACCGGCTAAGTCTCTGCATTGCACGGGAACTGGAAGCTGCTTTCGGTGGTTGGAAGGCACCGAAATGAGCTTCCCTTCCCTTTGATGGTGAGAGTTGGTGATTTTGTTGAATTTACAGGTTGGGCGTGGGACGGATTATTGCTAATTTATTTGTTATTTGTGATAGACGAGCGCTAATGTGCCAAATAATGCGGGGAAATCGAGTGTTCGATGACCGGAGTGATTGTGTGCGTACGAACGAAGGGCTGTGTGATGATGTGAATAGCAGCATGTTGAGACAAATTAGCCTTAAGGATAATTATAGCGAATTTACGAAATGGAATTTCTCATTTCCCAGAAAAGAAAGCCCAATCTGTTACAAAGCCTAGCTATTTATTGAACTGCTTGGAAGGTTCGAACTTCCCACCACAATTCCCTACAACTCACTAAGGAGTGTGATGTTGGTGGCACATGATCCCCAAAACTGCGTTCCAATGTCCGTCACGTCGAAAATGTTGTAGTACGTGGAGATCAGCGTAGCACCGATTCCGAACATGATTACCGCGCCCGACAGAATGCAATCGCTGTACATAAACTGGCAGAACCGGTTGAACCAATCACAGCAGAACGAGAAGCAATCGCCCATCCAGTGCACCGTCGGCAGCGGTCTCTTGGCGCTAATTGATCCGTAGGCACTCGGGAACAGAGGTTCCCGGTCGTCGCTAGCCACCGTTTCTCGGCTTTGGATGTGTTCCATTTCCTGGTAGTAAATGGCTTCCAGGTTGGTCATCTTCTGGTAGAACAATGGAGGCAGTATGAAGATGAGAGGTCCCGTCAGAGTGCCACCGATGATTCCCATCACCACATCGAAGCGCGGCAGGAGCTCAGCAATCAGGACAGCCAGCCACACCAGCGTCGAACGGATGACGCATCGTTTGAGGGTGAAGTCTAAAAGGAGTGAATAAATTGTAGCATAATTTGATTGAAGTCTATAAGCCAACGTACCCCTGGAAGCACCGAGAACGTCCTCCAAATGTTGGAAAAGCGCTGAATTTCCCACAGCACTGGACAGGCACAGCTGCAGCGTTACCAACAGGATAGTCGTATACAGGGACCAGCTTTTCGGCAATATTTGCAGCACATTATTGGTCATATCCATTCCGTATCGGTAGGCAGCAAAAACCGTAGTCACGGCCGATAGCGTACAAGTGGCCATCAGTCCCAGAAAGACGGCCTTCCCGATCTTCCTTTTCTTTTCCATATCCACCTGGATCGTCAGCAGCATGGGATGAATATCGAACTGGAATGCAATGATTCCGTAGGCCTTGAGCAGTCGAAGCCACGAAGGCAGTCCCAGCTCAATGCCCTTGAAAGGGACAAAATCCTCCGTTCCATTTCCATTCGTCGCGATTGTGTCCTCACCAATTGACAACCACGTTAGTAAGGCTACACTGCTGCAAATCACCGCCGAAATACTAGCCAAAGGCCGCATATTCTTAGGGCTTCCCAACCACATAATGGGGCAAAGAAACGTTCCAATCAGCACCAACCAATAGCAGAAGGAGAATTCAAATTCACCTCCGGTGAGTTTCGATCCCAGCAGTTGCAGGTTCTGGGATGCCACCAGCAGATTCGGGATGCCACCGCCGAACACGGTCATGTCCAACAGCACCGTCACGAACACACTCATCCGCTTCCCGTAGGTAAATTCCGCAATGGCCGCGTACGGATATCGGTTCTTGGACACAATCGATGGATCCAGTTTTTCCGCAATGGTCCAGCATCTGCCCAGAACGGTTGCCGTATAGCTCTGCAACGTTACCACAAACAGAACCAACGGAATTCCGTACAATCCACAGGAGATGATCGATTTCGGCAAAGCCACTATGGGAAACACCCCAAACAGATCGATCACGCACAGACTCGCGAAGAAAAGCGACAGCTTTGGCGATGACCCGGGATCATCGGGAGGTTTCTCCGATCCACCGAGCAGATCGCGGGCTCGTCGTTGTTCCAGCAGTTCCTCATCTGGCGGTGGCGGTGTAAATCCTCGGAATGTCACAGAATCGGGTCCACTTTTTTCACCAAACATCCCGTTCGATTGTTGGAATGTTTGTTACACACCTACCACCTAATTAGGAGACAACCGAACCGAACCGGGTCGTGTTAAGGTTTCGTACAATCTGCCAAGGAAATTCTCGTTGCGTGGTAGGTAATCCATTCCCAGCATAGGTTAATCAAGCGTAAAGCGGTGCCAGTGTTGTATTCGGTTTTTTGATTGAAACATGCTTCACTTTGCGACATGCGTGGATTTGGCCCTGTTTCGAAATGTATGGTGAATCCTTACAAGTCATGCCCACCGGTCGGTATAGGGTACGTTCGTCGTCCACTTTAGTCCTATCTTTCTTATGTTGGCCACTGCCTTTCTTGGGAGGGAGCAGTTGTAGATGCGTGGGTATCTACTTGATTTGGTAATAAACTGAAGAAAGTGATATCGCATTTCAAAATATTCGTTGAAACATGTTTCGAAAACAGCAAATGTGTGGAAATGTGTGTGTGTGTGTGTGTGTGTATTCCTTCTAACCCCCACTGGCCGGCAGTGTTATTATGGAAGAACTATCTCTCTACAATGTTGCATTTATGGTCATTGTAGACAGCTTTAGTGCGGGCGTTAGAAAGTGATAGCTCTATTGCAGATCCAGCAACCCATTTCAGAATGTCTGGAGAGTCACGCCCATTCCGAGGTTACTTTCACTAACAATAAGCCCCGCATGTATGCATCACCGTTATCAAATAGATATTGGTATTACATACACGCTTCCAGGTTCGAAAATATTTTTTTCAAACCTGGCACGTATTTAGTTTATGTTTTATTCTTGTTAAATGTATTTGGACTGGTCTCACCATGTTAATTTGATCCTCCAATCCATGGGTTCCGTAATTTTGATTTTCTCTAAGCTTTGCATCTCATTTCGTGATGCACCTTTGTCGTAATACTTCCTTTAACGAACACAAATTTTCTTGCATTGCCATGGTCATCTGGGAGGAGGTTCTCGTCTAGCGCTTTCCCCAGGAACAGTTCGCGACCACCAACTGCCACCCGTCCAGCCTTGGGCATATCCAGCGAGGCATCTTTCATATTACTCGCAATCTCCGACTCAGGCGAGAGACCAGCTTCCGAGCACTTTTGCAAGCGGAAAACTTGCTGCTTCACGGCAACGTCGGCCACCAAATCACCAACAAAACAATTGTAGACGACGATTGAAACACGTCTTTATTGGTGAACGTTATACAGTGGAATGAATTTTATTTATATTTTCTCTTTACAACAGTGACACGGATTATCACAGACTACTGCGTTATTCAATACTCCTCACTAATCCGAGACACCTAATAGTTTGCAAAACTGTTGTTGTTTCTGAACGGCTAATGGCTTTGTGAAACCATCAGCTGGTTGCTCTATGGTCGGAATGTATACATCAGCTGCGTCGCTCCTTGTTGTAGGCTATCGTGCACAAAGTGGTTGCGAATGCTAACATGCTTCGTGCGAGGGTTGTATGAGCCATTATTCGCGATGCTGATTGCAGATTGGTTGTCACAATTGATAATTACTGGCCGCTGCTCGAATATCTGCGACCGCAAGTTGTTCCACCGCATTGATTCCTGAATTGTTCGAGACAGGGTCATATACTCTTCTTCACAGGATGAAAGAGCAACGGTGGTCTGCTTTTTCACATTCCACGATATGGCTCCACCTTGTAACGTGAACACGTTACCCATCGTTGACCTTCGGGTATCTGGATCTCCTCCCCAATCGGCATCGCTAAATCCGACTAGTTCCGATGATTCTCGTTTGGAATACTCCAACTTCTTCGTCGATGTTCCTTTCAAGTACCGAATTATCTCCCAATGCTGACGTCCCGGATTGGCGCTGAACTTACTAGCTGCATTCACCGCAAAAGCGATGTCCGGACGAGTCAGCTGGGCTACGAAAGACAAACATCCAACAGCTTCTTTGAATGGAACTTTCTTCATCTCCTCGGCTTTGTTCTGGTTTCTCGGTCCCATGGATTTGTCCAGTCTTAAACTGGGATCAGCTGGCGTTGCTACATTATACGATTCGCTCATTCCAAAAAGCTGAATGATTTCCTCGATGTACACCTGTTGATCGAGCCAGAGCTTTCCTTCTGCTTGATTCCTCGTAATCCGGATCCCCAAACAATACTTGGCTTGACCGAGATCCTCCATCTTGAATCGTTCGCTCAAATGCGTCTTCAGCTTTGGCTTCAGATTCGGATCGTTGGTGAAGATTAGAAAATCGTCTACGTAAATAGTGACGAACGTCAGCTTGTCTCCACGCATCATCCAGTACAGGCAACAATGTACTGAGGAACGAATCAGTCCAAGCATGCCATCCAGCTGCGCATTCCATACCCGGCTTGATTGTTTCAAGCCGTAAAGAGCTTTCTTCAAGCGGCATACCTTTCCTTTTTTTTATGGTCTATTTTTTTTTTTCATGGTCTATCCCCTGCGGATGAAGTATGACGAGGCTCGGTAGCTCAGTGGTTACCGTTTCTGCTTACTGAGCAGAAGGTCGGGAGTTCAATCCCAGGCCCGTCCCCTTCCTTGCAATTTTTCACTTTGCCTTATTCTCTATACCCACTAGATTTTAATGAAAACAAATTCTTCTTTAACACCGATCGCATCACTTACCACAGTGTGGGTCGTGATCTAAAAATAGAAATTGGATGAGTGCGCGCGCGTGTGTGTGTGTGTGTGTGTGTGTGTTTGTGTATTATAATCGCTCTACCAAAAACGATCCCTGCGTGTGCGTGTGCAACCTTTCCCCACATCCAACATCCCAGTGATTTCTCGTGGAAGCGCAGAGGATTTCTCGGTTTCCTTCACAGCGAGTACCACGTCAACACATTCCTTCCCATTCCCTAGTTGACCTGCATTCGGACACGGCCGGCGCTGGTATTGCTAAATATTAGATCTCCAGTTCTTACACATTGAGGATGAATGTTAGTCCCAAACATCATCTGTTGGTTCTCTGTGTAATTGCAGCTGATCTTGGTAATAACAGAGCAGCAACCGTGGGCGGTCAATCTGATTTTTTTTTTATCCCCTGCGGATGCAGTAAGTAGATCTCATCGTTCTGCTCTCCTTGCAAAAAGGCTGTAACTGCGTCCATCTGGTCGATGTCCAGTAACGAATCGTCGCATACCGTACTACCATAGAGATAACTCTAAGACCACTGGGTCCCGAAGAAAATCATTATTATTTTTGGCTCACTCAGTACCAGAACAACGGTCCCAAGCAGTCCCAAGCTATTTCACTCACCCCTGCATGTTCTGCATGAATCCACACACCCCTGATGTTATCTGTCAAACTTTCATAGCGAATCAAAACAAACATAGTGTAGTAATAGAATTTCAACTACAATAGGGTACGTTAATCGTTTGCTTGGGACCAATAGGCTACTAAAGTGGTGAGCCAATTTAAAATCGTTAGTTTCGTATTGATTGTTGGTACTACGGGAGAGTACACCTCGTCGTAATCTAGTCCTGGCCTCTGCGAGCATCCTTTCACGACGAGACGAGCTTTGTACCGCTGAATGGTTCCATCAGGTCCACGCTTCGCTTTGAACACCCATTTGTTCCGAATCGCTTTCCGCCCCTCAGACAGATCCGCAAGCACCCACGTGCTGTTTTCGCTCAGTGACCTCAGCTCATCGTTCATCGCTTGAACCCAATGATCTCTGTCAGGCCGTTGCAGAACTTCTTCGTAAGTCGCTGGATCGTCCATCGCACATTCACCGTTGGTTAAATCAGGAGGTAACTGAGGGGATATGGTGTCACCAGAATGTGCTACAAAGCTAATGCCTGGATAACCTCACTCCCGATCGCTGCGCCTTAAAACGCTGGCCAGACTGGAGAGTTATAACATGTTATAACGGTTGTCAAATAATTGCAACACAGAAACCACCATCAAGATAGCGCTATAACATGTTATAACTCTGTAGTCTGAACGTACTATTACCTTTATGGTTATAGTACGTTCAGACTACAGAGTTATAACATGTTATAGCGCTATCTTGATGGTGGTTTCTGTGTTGCAATTATTTGACAACCGTTATAACATGTTATAACCAACAATCAATACGAAACTAACGATTTTAAATTGGCTCACCACTTTAGTAGCCTATTGGTCCCAAGCAAACGATTAACGTATCCCATTCTAGTCGAAATTCTAGTACTACACTATGTTTGTTTTGATTCGCTATGAAAGTTTGACAGATAACATCAGGGGTGTGTGGATTCATCCAGAACATGCAGGGGTGAGTGAAATAGCTTGGGACTGCTTGGGACCGTTGTTCTGGTACTGAGTGAGCCAAAAATAATAATGATTTTCTTCGGGACCCAGTGGTCTTAGAGTTATCTCTATGTTATAACTCTCCAGTCTGGACAGCGTTTAACTCTAAGACTAGAAGGTCCCGAAATAACGTGCTCAACTTTTTGCCTCAGCTCTAGTACTCTCTTCGGTCCCAAGCTAATCGATTCACCCCTCGCAACATAGAAAAAACCAATAACCCCTCATTTTATCTGTCAAACTTTCATAGCGAATCAAAGCAGACATTGCGTAGTACTAGAATTTCAACTAGATTGGGGTACGTTAATCGTTTGCTTGGGACATATAGGCTAGTCAAGTAGTGAGTTAATTTAAAATCGTTAGTTTCGTATTGATTGTTGCTATAACCCTTGCTGCGAACAAGGGGTGGTCACTCTACACACTTATTTTGTGCCAACATTTTTCTCAGTGTACCTCAGTGTGCCGCAGCTGTACAGGCAGTGCCAAGAAGTCATTGAACTGACTGTTGTTTGCTTGTGAATAATGCCTTGTTTGGCAACCCGGTATTTTAACAGCTCTTGTTTTTGTTTTGTTTTTCAATGTTTTCAAAATCGACACGGACATCCGTCTCCAAGGATGTCTGCAACGGACGAGCTCTGTTGCTACACGATTCTTCCATCTTCGGCAGAAGGCCGACCCCGCACAACGAACGTCAATCATTATTCAACCAGCCCTTCTGGGAGCCGGATAAGGAAACGGATTTGCACCGTTTTTTTAACCACCCGAGTATCATCCGTCGGAAAACTGAAAACCAACGCCGGCCGGACCACACGTCGGACTG